GGGGGGAGGAGGGGAGGAGGGAGGAGGTGGAGGGAGGAGGGAGACGGAGTTCTGGAGTTTTCTGGAGAGCTGGTTGACTGAGCCACGGACCCTGCTGTCCTGAAACTCAGCAGCCAGGAAAGGCCAGGTGGGGCAGGTGCCGGCCCACCGAGGTGCAGGTGTGGGTCAGACTCGGGCACCACCTGCAGCTGGGTTTGCCGAGCGGGTGGAGGCGGCAGTAGGCGGCCCTGGGCTTTGTCCTCGGCCTGTCTCGGAGTCGCCTCTGAGCGTCCCCCCATGCTGTGAGAATGGTACTGGGTCTGGGGCGAGGCTGGCCCCCCTGGCCCCCCCATCCCAAGAGCTGGCAGAGTTGGGGTGGCTGGGACTGGAGGTGGACAGTGGGCTCCCGATTTCCTCTCTGCCCAGCGGCAGGCAGGTCCCTGCAGACGGGGCTCGGGAGAGGGGAGGGGAGCTGGGTCCAGCCCTGGGTCTGCTCACCGTGCACCTTGGACCCGCAGGCCTCTGAAGGCCTTGGTTTCCCCACCCATCCAGCAGGTGGGGGGCGGCCTGGAGGGTGCCTCAGAGCTCCTTTTGATTTCTTCTTTGGGAAGGTGAACTGGGGTCTCCTGACTGTGGGGTGGGCGCTCACCGCCTGCATCCCTGGCCGGAGGTGGGCGGGCCCGGGCGCCCCTCCCGGCCTGCGGCCTGCGTGCCTCACACCCTGCTCCCCTCCTGCAGCCCCAGGACCATGAACAACAGTACCTGCGGCTCCAGGGAGCTCCCCGGGCCCCAGGCGGCCAAGTACATCTTCTTCATCTACATGGGCGGGCTCCTGGTGCTGGGTCTGCTGTTCAACGGCCTGGCACTGTGGGTGCTGTGCTGCCGCCTGCTGCGCTGGACGGAGACCCGCGTCTACATGGCCAACCTGGCCGTGGCTGACTTCTGCCTGCTCTGCGCCCTGCCCTTCTTTCTGCACTTCCTGAAGAGCAGCACAGACTCGCCACTCTGCCAGCTGTCCCAGGGCATCTACCTGGCCAACAGGTACATGAGCATCAGCCTGGTCATGGCCATCGCCGTGGACCGCTACGTGGCCGTGCGGCACCCACTGCGAGCCCGCGGGCTCCGCTCCCCACGCCAGGCCGTGGCCGTGTGCGCCGTGCTCTGGGTGCTGGTACTGGGCTCCCTGGTGCTTCGCTGGTTCCTGGATATGCAGGACGGCGGCTTCTGCTTCTCCAGCCGCTCCGGGCAGAAATCCTACACCGTGGTCTTCTTGCTGCTGGGCTTCTACCTGCCGCTGGCCGTGCTGGTCTTCTGCTCTCTGCAGGTGGTGACCACCCTGGCCCAGAGGCCAGCCGCCGACGCAGGCCAGGCGGAAGCCACCCGGAAGGCCTCCTGCATGGTCCTGGCGAACCTGGCCGTGTTCGTGGTCTGCTTCCTGCCCTTCCACGTGGTGCTGGCTCTGCGCACAGCCATGGGCCTGCACACCTGTGCCATCCATCTTGCCCTCCAGATCACTAGCAGACTCTCGGACGCCAACTGCTGTCTGGACGCCATCTGCTACTACTTCGTGGCCAAGGAGTTCCAGGAAGCGTCTGCGCTGACCGCCCTCCCCACCAGAGCCAAGGCCCACAAAAGCCAGGACTCCCTGTGTGTGACCTTGGCCTAGGAGGTGGGCCACGGGCTCCTGGGCGGTGCTGCCGAGGCGGGGACCTGTGAGCAGTGACGAGGAGCTCCGGGATCAGGCTGGGGGCACTCTCACGAGGCCCAGGTGGGCAGAACAACCCAGGCATGGAGCGTGGGGAGGAGACACCCCTAGCCCTGGGGCCGAAGAGGGGCAGGGAAGACGGCAGGAGGATGAGGCCTGAGCGAGGCCAACGCCAGGGGCCCTGGGTGGGGCTGCACCCGGAGCCTGGTACCTCTGGGGTGCTGGGGGGTGGGGCCTCCTGGGTGCTGTGAAGCTCTGATGGCTAGCTTTCTGCTGCTGCCCCACAGGGGCCGGAATAAAGCTCTTGACCAAGGCTCTGTGTGTGCCACCCACACTCACATGGCGGGAGGTGGGGGCCTGGGGGCATCTTCCCCGGTAACTTTCTAGAGCTTTCCCCGTGGGGGCTCTCCTCGGGCCCTGCCACCTGCTTCCCACCCCTGCCCACACTCCACATCCGTCTGGCAGTTCCTGGAGGGGCCACGCTGGCCACCCTGGAGGGCTGGCTCTCATCTGCCTTGCCAGGCCCAGGCCCTGGCCGTGCCGAGTGTAGGCAGCTGGTCCTGAGCTCCCGGGCCAAGTGTAAGGAGGGGCGGAGGGGACGGTTGACGTCTGTGTCTGGCAGGTGACACGAGTGAGCGTCTGTAAGGGCCAGAGGTGGGAGGAGCCCCATGTGCCTCAGCCTGGGGCGTGAGGAGGCCCTTGAGACAGAGACAGTCTCTGGAATAGAGAAAAAGTGAGAGATGGGAGAGAACGAGACAGACGAGAAGGGAAGAGGGAATGGGGGTGGGAAGTGTGGAGGAAAGAAGCAGGGGGACAGAAAGCAATGGGGGGAGAGCGATAAGGAGAGCAGGAGAGAAGGCCCGGCCAGAGACAAGAGTGAGGAAGACGCTGAGCAGAGCGAGAAGGGGCATCCGAGGAAGGTGAGGAGGGAGCACGAGGGCAGAGCCGGAGACAAGGGACAGACAGACTAACAGACAGACAGACAACAGGTCAGCCTGGTCTCCCCGAGGCGCCAGGCCCTCACGCTCTCCTGTAGACTGGGAGCCCCAACGGCTGGCCTGGGAGCCCTTCTGGTCCCTCAGAGGGTCCCCGAGAGCAGGTGGGGGTCCTGGATTCTTGAAGAAGGGCCAGGGGCCAGCTCTGCCTTCCACAGGAGTCTGGGGACCCCACGCCTAGGGCTGCAGGAGGATGGAACTTACAAGGGGCCACATGGCCTGGGCAGACAGGGTAACTGGGCGGAGGTGCGGACCGGCAAAGGTGCTGGGCTGAGCAGAAGCCTTGGGTGGAGAGGCCCAGAAAGGACCCCCCACAGAGCCCCCTGCCTGGAAGGATGCCACAGTCCATGCCCAGGCACAAGGCCAGCGGCTGGGGCCCCTCGTCCCACGGGGCAGCGTAGGGGAGGTGGCGGGTCCACAGGCTGGAGGGGGCCTTGGTGGAACCCCCTGAGGTTAGGGGAGGGGCACCCTGACCCAGCTTGTTCGGCAGCCCTGGGGCTGCCACTGGAAGTCGGCGGGAGAGAGGGAGAGAAAGATGGAGGGGCTGGGGGAGGGGGAAGAGAAAGGCAGTGGCATCTCCCTCCCTGGCCCAGGTGAAGCTCAACCCAGCCAGGGCAGTCCTGGCCCCTGAGCCCGCTGAAGCTCCCACCATCTCCCCCCCGCCCGCTCCAGGCCGTTGGCCTCGGTGCCTGTGGCCGCTGCCCCCGGGAACGACTCCAATGGCTGCAGTACGGGCAGGAGTGTCTTGTCCAGGTGGTGACCAGTGTCTCCATCTGCCTCCTCATGGCGCTGGGTCTGCCCTCAGCGGCCTGGCACACTGTGTGTTCTACCACTGTCGACGTAGGTTGACAGAGACCTGCATCACCTGGTCAACCAGGTGGTGGTGACCGCCCACTGCTGCTGAGCTGGACGGATCCTGCCCCCAGGGCCGGGAGGCCGCCCTGTGCGAGGTCCTGCAGTGTCTCCTAGGTCAACACCTACAGGAGCAGGTGCGTCATTTCAGCGCAGCCTGAGGGGAAGCTCCGGGGGACCCTGCTATGCCCAGATCGTCATGGACCTCAGGATGTGTCCACTCCACTGGGGCCAGAGGGTCTGGCTTGGAACCAAATGACTGGATCAGCACAAACACCTGCACTAAGAAGCCCAGGAAGGCGACCGTCCTGAGGACTCGTGCTAGAGTCCGGAACCCCCAAACCGGGGCCAGGGCAGTAGCGGTGGGTTCCCCTGACAACCTCAGGTGGCCGGGTGACCGGAAGAAGGATCAGGAGGCCCAGGCCCCTCGTTGGCCTCCCCAGCCACACAGGGAGATTTGTTCATGCAGAATGAGGGTGGACAGGCCGCAGGCAGGGCAGTGTCCCAGGCCAGAACTGCTTTCCTGCCTGGCCACCAGCCTCAACCTGAGGGAGACAGACTTCTTGGCACTGAAACAAAGCAGCAGGGCCCTGGACCTGCAGGGTGGTCAGCGTGGCCTGCTGGTAAACCCCCATCTGCCCATGCAGGTGCCCCACCCATGGCCTGGCCCCGGGGTCTTCCGCTGCCAGGAGGTCCAGGCTCACCTGGATGCCCCGGTCACGCTGACCGCCGGCCACAGTTCACCTGCCCCCTCCCGCACTTGCTCTGGTGAGGTGTTCAGTACCTCTGGCCCCTGGGCACACTGCTCTGGGCCCAGGCCCAGGGACGCTTCAGATGGCCCGTCAGCAGGCTCCTCAGAGAGGCCGTTTTTGTGGCCAAGGCGGGTGGCAGCATCAGTGTCCTTGGCCGCTGCTCCAGTGCCGAGGACGTCAAGAGCAGCCGTCCTGTCCCTGGATCAAGTGCGGAACTTCTTGGGGTGCCAAGAGCACGGCCACAGCCCCTGCCCCCATCTCCTCTCGGGGCTGCCTGCTGGCCAGAGTGGCAGCTGGCCGGCAGAAGGAGGTGTGGCCCTGGCCCGGCATCGCCCCCTCTGGAAACTGCAGGGCATGAAGTCCACCCCACGGGGTCCAATCCTGACCACCGGTGGGTGGGGAGGGGGTTCCTGAAGGGGGCACCGCCACGTCATCGTGAAGAGGCAGCGCCTTGGAAGACAGCCCTGAGCTGCGAGTGACCCCCGGAGGGCCAGACCCGAGTTGACTTAGTCATCAGCCAGTGGAGACACAACCAGCCCCGTGACAGGCACGGGACCCAAAACGCGCGCCCCGGAGCCTCAAGGGCTGCGCTCTGAGGCCTCGCATGGAGGGAGCGGGGAGGAGAGAAGCTGGGAAGCGGGCCAGATAGGATCATGGGGCCTTGCAGGGGGATGCGGGCTCCACGGGTGCTCTGAAGGTGGGGGAGGGTTTGTGTCAGAGGAGCCGGAGGCGCTCTTCGTGCGGGCCTCTCCTCGTGCTGCGCTGGGGTGTCCAAGGGAGGGCTGGCCAGGGCCAGGGTGTCAAGGGCAGATGTTGGCCAGGATGAGGGCTCCGACCGTGATGAGGGGCAGCACGGGACTCAGCGGGACACGCTAGAGGGGCGTGGCTAAGGAGGAAGAAAGGGGGCCCCCAGGAGTCGCGGTGTCCTGGTTCCAGTGCGGAGGGGTGTGAGGGCCGGAGGAAGCAGGCAGCAGGCAGAGGCAGCGGAGTGACCCTCCGTAACCAGGAGGGTGCTCTCTGGAGAACAGCGGGGCGGGGTTGCCCAAGGGTCACGCTAAGTTCTGTCTCTTCTCAAGGACACCCCGGACCCCACCCCCACCCCTGCAGAACCCCCACCGGTTCTGTAGTCTTTGCGCCTCACACACTGGACTGGAGGCCGGAATCGCTGTCCTTGGCGATGCTCAACTTGCTGGTCCCAGCCCTGCGCCCCGCACGGGGCAGGGACAGGCTGGACAGGACTGCCCTGGCGGGCGGGGGCGGAGCTTCGGCGATGGGGGGCGGGGCCAGGCCACCGGAGCCGCCCACGTCCCCCGCCGCTCCAGGTTCCGCCCCTCGGCGCCAGGCCCGGCCCATGCCCAGGGCCCCGCCCCTTAGCGCCCCGCCCCGCCACCTCCCCTCCTTTCCTAGGAGGTTCTGCGACCCGTGGGGCTGGGGCCCTCTGGTGCAACCCCTCTTCCGTCCCCAAAGACTGTTCAGGCTCCAGGAAAAGAGCTGGGGGTCGGCTCCCGGCGCTGGTGGGGAGGGGGAGGAGGGCCGGGGCTTTGCCTTCCCCCTCACCTGCCTCTCACTACGCAGCTGTGTCCAGCTCTGCTTAAGGTTTTAAGTTAATTTGCGAAGGGAATGTGAATTCTGCACTGCGACCGAGATCGACAGGGTGAGGATAGCATGCTCAACAGAGAACCAGCGGCGGGCACACAGGCAGCTCGGGTCATGGGTCTGTCCTGCCTGCCACTGTCCCTCGGCCCTAACTCCTTCCTGTAGGACTGTCCCAGTCTGCCGCGGCCGGTGGGGCGCTGCAACGGAACACCACAGGCTGGGTGGTTTGTAAACGGAGCCCCGACATCAGTGCCCACTTGGTCCGGGTGCCGGCGTGGCCGGGTTCTGGTGGGGCAGGCTCCCGGTTCCCAGACCACCGTCTTCTGCTGGGTCCTCATGTGGTGGAAGGGATGCGGGAGCTCCCTGGTGTCTCTTTCATAAGGGCTCTAATCCTGTCCCCGAGGGCTCCACTGTCGTGACCTAATCAACTCCCGAAGGTCCCACCCAGTACCATCCCACCCGGCGTTAGGATTCCAACGTAGGAATTGTGGGGACACACAGACATTGTGGCCATAGCAAGGGGCAAGTGATTTGACTTAGGTCATCACCTAGAGCTTGCCTGGTACATAGTCAGTATCACAAGGTGCTGGTGTCTATTAGGAACTTCCAAGCCCCCTAGATGAGAACCACTTTGTTAGTGAGAAGTGCCACCCAAGAGAAACAAAACTGAGACCTGGGCCCCTGCCCTCTCCCCTCCCTGCATCCCGGCCAGCACACACGCAAGAAGGCCCATCTCCCCTCGCCTTTCCTACCACCTCCAAAGTTTACACCCCAGCTGCCCTGTCCTCAGCCTGCCACAGCCTCTGGAACCCTCCCGCCTTTGCCCTGTTGCCCAGCTGGGCGCCCAGTGTGCCAGGGCCGGCAGGCTCTGACCTGCCCTTAGGATAGCCTGAGGTCCCACAGTCCAGAGCGTGGTCCCGCAGCCTGGCTGCCTGAGTGCAGATTCGCGTGGCTTCCTTACCAGCCTCAGTGTTCTCTCAGCCTCAGTGTTCTTGCCTGTATCCTGGGATCCTTGGATCCAGGGTCACCTCTAACATTTGTAGGGCCAAGGACATGAGTACAGGTGAGACCCAGGCACGTCCAAGTATTGAACTTACACCCGAACCCTCGGAGTCTGG